GAACTGGAAAGGAAGGCTCAGGAGAGGTGGGTTGGAGAATGGTGGTCGGTGGCCTATGCTCCATTGGAAGTAATAGGCGTAAGTAAGTAAGTAATTGTGATAAATTTGCTTATCACAATAAAATGAGGTCATATATATGGTTTAATGTTCATAGTGTGTAAATAAACATTGGTATGCGGTTATTTGGGTTTTTTTCGTATTTCAAAGAAACTGATGTACTTTTTGTCAAGGCAATAAAATATATCAACATATTTTCGTTTTCACATTAGTATTATTATCGTTACTATTGTTACTATTATTATTTACAAATGTACTCAGTCTTGTGACTTACATAATTTATGACTCCAAATGACACCACGTGGTGGTTTCTCTCTTTCTCTCTCTGTGCCTAGATTATTATTAACTAATAATTAGAGGCTTTATTCAATATTATATTTCGGGTACAACATAGAAATTCTCACCACAGGGTATTTCAATAAGTTTCTTACACACAGAAAACAGAAACAAAGACAAAAAAGGAAAAAAAAGTTTTAAGAAAAAAACTGAAAAACTGTACAACTTTTCAAATTACAGATGTGTTAAGAATGCAAGTCATTGACTAGGTTAACTCTAATAACCTGTTCGTCACAGAGTATATTTGCTAGGTAAGGTATTATAGAACTTTTATACTTTTGATTGCGTGCGTGGATTGTAATGTAATTACGTCTCGTTCTACCAGAAGAAGATAAACAAGGAGAAAGATAAGAGGGAAGGGGATGGTTAGTATCTGCTAAAATAACACCTGCCAGGAGTTTGCATGACTTTGGATGTCTATCCACAACCAATATTAATTATGACCTCGAAAGATTCATCACACACCTTGCTAACTGCCTTCAGCACTCTCCACAATACAGCAAAATCTTTTCTCAAAAGCCTGGGAAAGAATAATGGAGATAATAGATCTCTCTATCTCTTACAAATCTTCTTTTTAATTTTCTAAACATTAAATAATTTCCGGCAATTATTGATTATCGATATTCGCATGTTCACAATATTTATCTTTCAATGAAGTACTATGATGCCTTAGAATATGATATGCATGTATGTTATTTTTGAAATACGTGTGTGTGTGTGTATGATTTACTAACTTGTTTTGGAGTGTAAAAAAGCAGTGGATACTACTTAGTTTCAAAACATAAAATTCAGTGAACTAATTTCTTTCATTCATTGTCTATATTTCCCCACAAAATTGTTCCTTAAAAGTTCACATATATGTATATACAATTGTATAGCATGATACTAAATTCTTTGAAAAGAAGTCCTTTTGATCAATTTCCTGTTTTTGATATTACTCACACCCATTGGAATGATTGTTATAACTAGCCTAGTGTTTCAATTGTTGAAATAGTGTGACAGGACTATAGTATAATAGTTGTGACCCTAAGCGACTTTTAAATGGCCTTCAAGGATGTTTTTTTACCATCTTTAGTCAATCAGAGGACAGTTAGTAAAAATATTAAAGAATTCATTCATATTACTGAAAAGCTTACCACTTACTAATTCTGTCTAAATAATTTTTCTCTACTATACTTTCTTTTCCAAAGGACTATTTCTTCAATATTTACAATTAAACCCATCACACCCATAAACACTGTTTCTCTCATCAACATTTCTGCTCACACTTCTCTACAATATTAATACTATTGCACTTTTTTGACTTGGTTTGCATCAATAAAGACAACTGCATCATTTATCAGTGTTTATGTGGTCCAATTGATTATTTAAAAAAGTATTAGTTGTCTACAAGTCACTTTCCATCTCCCTCAAATGGCCTGTTGCAGTTAAGGGTGGAGAAAGTCCGCTCTCCCTCTCGAAATGCTGTCACATGACTACACATATACAGCCACTGACAGGAAAGTCCTATTCACTGTCTTCTCGCACCACGGGTGTTGTTTAAGAAATTGAGAGGACGAAAAGCGAATGTCCGACGCTTTAACCGGGTTGGTGGACACGGAGAGTCCACCTAGGGGAGTTGGAAAACTCTCATTCCAAACCAATGGTGCACATGGGCTCCAGGATCCTAACAAAACAAATGGTGTATAAACCTATTATTGGTCACCGACTACCATGGGACTGCATCTCCTAACGTTGCTCCACTGACTTGTGGATCAATCCTTTAGTTCGAAGGCTCTGGGTATGTCCCCCTAAGTAAACCACCTGCTTCGGTGTGGGCAACCGGGTAGTATCACAGCCCACACACAAATCGGATGATTTGTGTGGTGCATATGTATTCGGTGCCCCTTTGTATCAATATTTATGTGTCCTAATAAATACATAAAATAGTAAGAATAAAGTCAACTTTTACCGAGACTTCTTATGCCTACGTAGTTAGCGCTAGAGTATAACATGATCACATTTATCTTAATATTCCACTTGTCTTATTTTTTGCAATACAATCACAAAAAAATTAATTTTCCCAAGCAGTTCCTTACCTTGTATTTCATTTTTGTCGGAATTAGGAGGTATACGATTGGTATTCAACGTATTAATTCAAATTACCTAATGTGACGTCGAAGTAACATTTTGAAACTTCATTAACCTTTTCTTATACTTTTACAAAATATCTCACTCCTCCCACACAGATACACACCTATAGCCGACTTTCTAACACAATTGGGATGTGAAAACTTATTGATGTTATTCAACTGATGAAACAAAAAATAATGGTGTCTAAAATTCGAAGCGAAACTAACTGAATGAATTAATACCATTGTATAGTTAATTAAATGTCAAAAATAAATAATATTGTCGAATTACAAATAACGATAATATCTGTAAACATCAATTACACAATTCAGTGAGTTATAAAGCAATTGATGGTAGAAAATTTATGAAACATACTAATTCTCAATAGCTAACTATCAACATTACCATTTTACTGTGTAAATTTGGTCCAGAATGTATAAGTAGAATTGGATACCTTTCAGATTGGTCAAATAAATATCTACCATAGAAAACGTGGAAGCACTGGACGGCCGTTTCTTCTTAGTGTGGGACTCCTCATCAGTACGCGTTCACGACCCCGCCTCCCGTGAGATTCGAACCTAGGACCTATCGGTTTCGCGCCCTAGCGCTTAACCATTAAACGTCTGGGCCGGCACCCAACGGTGTTAATGTCTAGCTTCAACCAATCCACGAGAAGTCCCATATTAACACGAAACGGCCGTCCAGTGCTTCCAGGTTTTCCATGGTGGTCTAGCTTCAATTGACTCATGATTTCAACCAGTTAAATATTATGGTTTAAAGCTAGAATTTAAGGGTTTTACAGTTAGTCAATATATGTTCCCAAATTTCTTAATCCTAAATAATAAACTCTACGCTTTAACTCTTCATTTTAATCACTCCTATAACAATATAATTCTAAACTGAATGCCTAAATCTCAATCCTAATTCTTAATTCAAATATCTAATGATGTTGTTTTTCATCATTAAAGTAGGTTAAGATATTTTCTTGAATTTAATTATTCATAATACAATCAAGAAGTAACAATAACTTAGTCAAATAATCTATTTTATTAATCGAGTAGACATATTGTTGATTCAAAATATATTCCGTGACCTTAGAGAGATTTATACATTCATCATCATTATCATCATTAGTTCACTCTTATAGTTCTGGTGTACCACTATAGATAAATATATTAATTATACTAAATTGAACTGATACAAAGTTTTTTGTAAGCGATGATGGATAGTGGCTAGCAGTGGAGTCTAGAACGCGCGCTTCGTCCTATTCGGGACTCATCAGCTGGATGTACCTACATCTCAGGGTTGATGTTCACTCTGGAACTCGAACCCAGGACGAAACGCGCGTCCTGAATTCCACTGCTAGCCACTATCCATCATTGCTTACAAAAAGCTTGTAAATTAAGGCAATATCGAGGCATACACACAGTATGCACATATGCCAATAGCAGACTGATCAATTGCAGTCTTAAACCTCAATGGGAAGATACAAGCCAAACAATACCAAGTGATACAAAGTTGTTTCTCAGTAATGGTAAATGATAAGTATTCGATATTAGGCAGTTGATTAAACTCTGTGTAGTCAGTTAGTAAAGTGTGATAGTATCAATAATTTGTAAACAATTAATGTCATCTTTAATTTACGAAAAATGAAGCATAGAAATGATTAGTAGTTGTAATAATAATAACATCCATTGGACAAAATAGGTTTATAACCTCATTGTGTAAAGTGAATTTTTATGCATTCTTATCTGACTTTTGATTGATAAGTAGGTTTCATGTATCGTATCATCTAGTCTTTATACTGAAATCCTGTAGATCAATTTCTCTTCTAAATGAGATTTCTCTTCCATTTCATCACACTGATTTGCATTTTAATTTATTGATTGATTGGTTAAATTAGATAGATCAGTTAACTTGTATCTCCTATCAAAATTACTAGCTTCCAAATATTATTAGTAAGAGGTTGTGAAGGTTTTTGAGTTTCAGTAAAATCATGTGCTTACTAGTGACTATCTTCGAGAGGAAATTTCCAGTCTTAGTTAGAATCCTTACCCCTTGATTAGTACGTAACCTCATTTGTTATTTATTCTCAAATCGATTTTTGTGATGTAATCTTTTCTATCCTCCTATAGACATATATTTTCCATCTAACTATATATACGAATGTACAGCTTAAGTGGATGATTTCGTCTAAAGGAAGATTTTCTTCACTGAATTCTCTTCCTCTTATTCAACGACACTATGGGTTAATTTAATTATCACAACAATAATGACAATAAACAGTGTATTAAAACCTGAAGTACTTTGGAACTCAATCAGTAGAATCCTAAACAGTTAATAATTGAACTAGGTCACTGTTTTGAATTTGACTGCTGCCCACCAGATTCTACTTTATATGTTTCAATACCTGTTTATTCGTGAATACTACATAAGATATTTATAATTTTATTTTTTTTCTAAAAAAGTTATAATATTTTATTTTGTTCATTCAGGTGAAAGATTCTATTGATCTGTTTACACTTCGACGTCATGCTGTAAAAATTATTAGTAAACTAGGTGTACGAAAAATTCCCGGTGGTTGGAGTCAAGCATTACATGAAGCTAGTTTAATGCGAAGATTATCTGCTTGTCGACATGTGGTTTCATTAGTTGTTGTATTACGACTAGAAAATCCAGATAGATTATGTTTAGTTATGGAGCATTGTCTTGGATCAGTACATGATTTACAAGCTTCCGGTGTACCATCTCATACAGCTTTAAGTTCAGAAAATGAATTTGAATTAGATGAATTCAATGCTAAATCATCCTCTCCACGATTATCATATTTTAAACATCAACATGGACAATCATCAAATGCTGTATTAAATGAAAACATTTCAAAAGATAAAAGAAAAAATGTTGATTCTTCTGAAAAGTTGAATAAATCTCGTCGATTTCATCCTAGATTATCAATGGGATCTACACAGATCAATCAAGAAACAGATACAAAATTTGATAAGTCGAAAAGTCGTAAAACATCATCCATAGAACAGCCAACAAGAAAACGTACATCCTCTCAACAACAACAACAATTTCGTCGACTTCCTGAAGCACAAGCGCATGCCTACTTTTTACAAGTAAATCATTATTATCTTTTCCCTATAGGTAGTTTGTGAAGATTATTGAATTTCATAATTCACACCGCGAACTAATAATAACAATAATGATGATATTAGCGACTTGGTTGAAAGTGAACATGTAAGCCATTGGATGCTGCCGACTCAATTACTTTGAAAGGTTAGACATCCACCTGAAAATCTTGTACCTGATCCCCTTTGGATTAGGGTTGTGGATCCTCACTAGAACGATAAAACCGTCCGACCCATTCTAATTTTTAGTGCTTGGCCAATCAAGATCATTTCGTGATGTAAATTTTGAATTTTATTATTATTCGGATCTTATACTTTGTCCTTGTTCCTGCTCCCGGCTGAGGGGAGGGATAAAGGCAAACGACCTTCAGATTTTGACTAGTTTTAGCCAGTCAGGAGACAGTGAAGATAAATGAACGATTTCTTATACTAGGACTTATGAGATAGAGTTTAGAATTTTCGCATTATAGGTTATATTTGCCTGTAATGAAAAATACTTTAACTCCACATCTTGACTCTATTTTGATGAATGCGCTATGACATTGAAGAGATTTGCATGCTCATCATTCGTTCGTAGGTATAATTCGGTATTATGACGACAAAAATGAAAAAGCAATAACAAACAACAGAAGCATTTTTTTAGGATATTACTACTTTTTGGCCAGTCTTATTATAAAATTGGATAACTTAGCTGACTGATCCTAAGATGTGAAGATACGAGGAAAAAAGGCAATTTATATGCATAGTCTGCTTAATATTAAATACATGAGATTTTTCTTACAAACTTCAGGGTACTTATATATTAACTCTCGTTAGAAGTACTCCTTGTTTATAATACTAACTTGTTCAGACTGTCTATAAATAAGTATGCACAAGTCAATCTTTTCAACTGCCTTGGCATTTCACATGTTTGCGCTAAAATTGTACACCTAAACAATGTTTCCAAATTTAGTTCATCAGTACTGTACATATATATTTATTACTTTCGAGAACCGATGGTACTAATGCTCTTATTCAATAATCTTATGTTTTTACGTTTATTAACCCATTTCGAGTTTTTTGTCCTCCCAAAGCCCCAATCAGAAAATGAAATTCAAACAGTCAATGGAATTTCTGTATATCCGACTAAAAAATTGGCGAGACCAATCAGATTTAGGATAACAGGTCTTGGGTTTTGGTACGAAATTCACTCACCCATTTGGCCAGATAGCGTCTTAGTATTTTAGCTAATGTTAGTTCGTGATGAAAACCTTAAATCTAATTTTTGACCCTAACTATCAACTGTAAATCATAATTCTAACTGGTTTATAACCCTCATTTAGCCCTAGTAAGTAGGTAGACAACCTTAAGGTTACTTTGGAATCACTCAAAGATCGTCCATAACTTATAGTCTCACCAAAAAATTCACATAATGATTCATTAATTACAGGATTACAACACACCATAAATAAGATATTACTTGTGTCTAATAAGAACATTTGCGGTACGAAATCTGATTAATAGGGTTATAATTCATTTACAAAAATTTCCTTACAGAAAAAAGGATATAACAATAGCTCATTAACCGAATAGAAATCTACAACTTAAGGGAATATAATAAGCACATAAACCAAATACTTAATAAGCACATCTTCGTAATGTAATTACTGAATCTCCCATAAAAATAGCTTCTGAAGTTGGTCATCTTCATAAAAATTGGTACAATTATGCATCAAAATATGAATGCGCCTCATAAGTTATCATTGAATTTATGTTTGGGTTGGGATATTGTCCAGGTGTTCAAATAGAAACATATGGTTTTATTAAGAGGCCACAACCCGAACCTTTTAGCGTGACCATGCAAAAAGGTGTAGTTAAGTCAATAAACAACTAAATACTAGCTCATTTAGTCTATATTCACTTAAATGCTAGCATAAATCAACCATTTTAAACAATTCGTCAGATTTTCAATAGTTGAAATCATGAGTCGATTGAAGCTAGATCACCATGGAAAACCTAAAAGCACTGGACGGCCGTTTCGTCCTAGTATGAGACTCCTCAGCAGTGCTCATCCACGATCCCCCCGCGAGATTAGAACCCAGGACCTATCAGTCTCGCGCGCGAGCGCTTAACCATGGATGCGCACTGCTAAGGAGTCCAATACTGGGACGAAACGGTCGTCCAGTGCTTCCAGACTATCCACGATGGTCTAGCTTCAACCGACTCATGATTTCAACTATCGAAATACTAAAATCTCCACAAAACCCCTTCTGATAATTAGTCAGATTAATAATTTTCTATCTAAATCTGTCATATTCAAAGTTCCCCCAAACGACTAAGTTGAATATCTAGTCATATTTACTAGCCACACATATCTTTAACTAGGCACATATCAGTTTTTACATCACTACTAATCTTTTAAACATATGAATCACTTAGTAAACACTTACTTCACTCTATTGTTTCCTACCTAATTTATATCATGTTATAAGTTACGTAGGAAATAACAGAATAATAAATCATGGCCGACAAATGCCCTTTTACGACCGAGAGTGAGGAGAGTCAGCTTCCCTCGAAATGCTCTCACATGGCCACACATGTCTAGCCACTGTCAGGGAAGTCCTACTCACTGCCTGCTCGCGGCATTATTGTTACGAAAATGAGAGGACGAAAAGCAAATATCCGACGCTTTAACCGGGTTGGTGGATATGAAGGATACACCTGGGGGGAGTTAGAAAACCCTGATTTCAAACCAATGGTGCACATAGGCTCCAGTATCCTGACAGAACAAATGGCATATGAACCTATTGTTGGTCACCGGCCACTATGGAACTGTATCTCCTGACGTTGTTGCACTGGCTTGTGGATTAGACATGTAAGTCAAAGACTTGGGGAGTGGCCCTCTAAGAAAATCATCTGTTTCGGTCTGGGCACCCGGGGAGTATCACAGCCCTCACGCAAATCAGTGATAACTACTACTGGTTTCATTGTTATTGTTTGGCACATATGTATTTGGTGCCCCCTTGTACCAATGTTTATGTGTTCAAGTTAATAAAATAAATAGCGTAATTGTCGAATAAACGTTTGATCTCATATGTAATTACAGCACTATTCCTCTCACGTTATGAGTGTTTTCACAATTTATAGAAAGGGTAGCCTAACCTGTAGACGACATTAGTAGATTCATTAATCATTTAAAATATGTCTACACTTTCTCATATTATTATTTTCTTTTCCACAAACTATCTATTCACAATGGTGGTTTTCTAGTTGATCAAGAACCTGTTGAATATTCTTCGTGATTGTTTTAATTTCATCCCTATACTATACTCTTGCCTAAATGGGCTTATAGAAGTGGATTCATATCAGTAACTTAGTTATGTAATAATTAAACAATTTAAGAAAAAGATTGTCGTGATTTGATTGACAGTAAAAAGTGTATTCATCAAAATTACTGAAATTTTGGAAACGCCATTGCTAATTATATATGGTATTAAAAATTTTATTTTAAAATCTCTTGGGTAATTTCGTCACACATCCTCACATTATTCACTAATAGTTTTCTTTCCGAAATGTCAAATGGTCATGCAAGGGGCATGTGTCATGAAGGTAATGTACAATTAATATGTAAAATAAGACTGAGCTAATTGAACAGTCTAACTTTTGAGTCCTTCTGTCCATTTTTTGATCAATTTAAATGGAGATAGACCAAGTGTATTGTCAAAAATAGAGACATATTTTTGATGGGGATAAATGAACTCATCGTAAATCTTGTGAATTATATTGTTAAGATTTTTTAATTTTCCGTTGTTGATATTCAGGTTTACAGTTGATCTATACCTTTTTCCATATGTAAATCCTGAGATTACCTCCATGTAGCGTCATGTCACAAGTTTTGTATATTCAGTATATGACTAACCGTGGAATCCAGGATGGGAGTTTCGTCCATTGTGCGGCTTGTCATCTGTGTGTGCCTGGATTCCAGTGTTTTTATATTCACATTAAGACTTAAACATACTATCTTTCACTTCTAACACCCAAGGTGTTATTAACTAAACCACTGAATCCGAATAACCATTAGATTTTTCAATGAGTATAATGGTACTGAGTTCGAGTCTCAGTGGAAACGTCAACGCGGACGCAGGCACATTCAGCCGATGACTTTATATATATATATATCTTGTATATTTCCGTACTATCGTCGTTGTTTTTATTCCTCACTCTCTCTCTCGCTCTCTCTGCATTTCCTTTTCTTCTAGTTAATAGACGGTTTACATTTTCTTCATCGTAACGGTGTTATACATCGTGATATTAAACCAGCTAATTTATTATTAACACCTGCACCAGGCTGTGGTTTAAGTGGTTTTGGCAGTCCAAATGGTACCATGGATTTACCAGATCATAATTGGTTATGCAGTACGGGTAGTCAATCAGCGTTTTGTCAACGTTCATTGGCTAATTTATTGGCATTATCACGTGGTTGGTTGGTGAAATTAACTGATTTTGGCGTATCGGCATCAATTTCAGCATTTAGTACAAATGATATGGTAATTTTATTGAATGCATTTTCTTGTCTTTTCACTTATTAGTTTGTTTATCTTTCACCCTTCTTCTTGTTCTTCGTGGGATCTCGTTATTCAAACAGAATTACGTGTGAGTCGGCGTCAAATTCATGAACTAGTAATTGAAGGTAGTATATCTTAACTAACCAAGTTCACAAGTCAGTAGGATCTAGTAAATTTTTACATCGGTTCAAGTTGCACAACTAGTATCAGTACAGTGAGATAAAACTATCAAAACATATACCAGAGTGGTAGAACTAGTAACATTATCGTTGTTAGTAGTAGAATAGTTTAGTTATTGACGATATAACTTGAGTAAATAAAATAAATTAATGGAACAGAAAGTTATAAGTATTTCAGGAAAAACAGTTAATGCATCTACTGCTCCACTGGTTACGATAATTGCAAGGACCTCAACCAGACAGTCTATATTTACTTACATAGCTTGGTCTAACAGTCACTCACTTTATGGATTCATATTATGTTTCAATTTGACTACCCTATCTTTCCTCTAACCCATGTCAGCAAATATTATTTGTTGAGGTAGGCAATGGTTAGCATATATAAAACATGTTCCAAACTCCTCAGTCAATAAACATTCACTGTTGCAAATTCCAAACACATCCTTCGTCATAGTCTCTAGGATCCTAGAAAACCCATAGAAGCGTTTTATCTAGTCAGCTTTGAATAGAAGCGTCCCAGGATCACTGAAAGAAAGGGAAGAATTATGTGTCACGATTCGATTAAGTGGTTGTCCCAATCGCCACTATATTTAGCGTGTTGCTAGAAAGATCTAACAGATTAACATAATATAAAACTCTTAACATACACTGAACTTCTTGTACAGAAGTAACCTTAGAGTAAAAAGATCGTACTGACATTTCGCTCCTTATCTCTATTGTCCGAGTTGAAGCGTGGAGGTAGTGGGTAAGAAGTTAGGAGTAAGTGTTTCAGTAGCAGACTTATCAGATCGTTACAAAAGATTCACGTAGGAAAGTTGGAAAATACTTATTCTAAACTAATGGCATGCATGAACTGGAGGATCTCGAGGTAACAATCAGCGTAAGAACCAATTCTGGTTTACAACTACTATATAGGGTTGTATTTCCTGACATCGCTTCACTGTCTTGCAAGTTAGACTTCCAGGTTGGGCTATTAAATACCGGCACACCATGGTTTAGGCATCCATATAATATCCTAGCTTATATACACATGATAATGATGAATAATAATGCTTAACAGCTCAAAAGAACATAAAAGCTGCAATGTTTATCATTTTATTAGAGACTTAAATTTAAAATAATTAATTAGTCATGGTTTAATATCAGTCGGACAACTGAAAAGAAAAGCAACAAATACATTATATAGCTAGATATTTCAACTATCAGCAATGAGCATCTATTAATGGTATCCTTAATAATACAATTCAATACCTTTAAGTTTCATATTGAACTTGTTCTCTTCAGGTTCATATGAAGTCGAACATTTCGCACAAATTACCAGCCAACATCTTAAACTTGTTATGTCCTATGACAAAATCTTCAGTCAGAACACCGTTTTATATGACCTTGTCTCTGTACTAAATCAATGATGCGTTAACCAGCACGAGCAGCCTTGAGTCAATTCTGAGTACTTATTGGTCTTCTGTGCGGTAACTTCTCGCCTAACCCAGACTGTTGAGTTCACAACACAAATACCAGCCTCTGATGTATTATTCATATATTCTAGACATACTTGATTTATATGCAAGCAAATCAGATCGTATCACACCATAAAATGAAAAGTAATGATTATAAACGATCAAGCCAAAAAGTGTCTGTGATTGTGAAAGACTGTAACTAATAAATTAGGAATAGTTTAAGAATAGTAAGTCATATAACAGTAGTCTATAGGTCGAATGAAAGCTTATGATAGAAGGAATATGAATATATGTATATTCTAGTTACTTAATAATTATCTCATAAGAACATTCGTAATAATAGTCCATCTATTTATTTATTTATTTGGACACATAAATATTGATACAAAGGGGCACCGAATACATATGCACCACACAAATCATCCGATTAGTGTGTGGGCTGTGATACTACCCGGTTGCCCAGACCGAAGCAGGTGGTTTACTTAGGGGGACATACCCAGAGCCTTCGAACTAAAAGATTGATCCACAAGTCAGTGGAGCAACGTTAGGAGATGCAGTCCCATGGTAGTCGGTGACCAACAATAAGTTTATACACCATTTGTTCTGTTAGGATCTTGGAGCCCATGTGCACCATTGGTTTGGAATGAGAGTTTTTCAACTCCCTGGTTAAAGCGCCAAACATTCGCTTTTCATCCTCTCAATTTCTTAAACAACATCCGTGATGCGAGAAGTCAGGGAATAGGACTCTCCTGTCAGTGGTTGTATACGCGTAGCCATATGAGAGCATTCGGAGAAAGAGCTGACTCTTCTCACCCTTGGCCGTACCAGGGCATTCGGGGGGGGGGGCTAAGTATGTGTCGGAAGTGGGATTCCGACCCACGCCCACACCGTGAACCAGAACACTCTTGAGTCTGCCTCCTTAAACCGCTTGGCCACTCCGACGTGATAATAGTTCATAAATAATCCCTAGCAGTTACCATTCATTTATTCTTCATTCGGATATAACAAAGCTAATTGTGCATACGATATTAAGCTACATTTATTTATTATTATCAATGAGGCAATTATTTCATACTATTAAACTGTGTTTCATTCCACTCTGTAATCATATAACATTCGTCCTTCAAAAACTAACTCTTTATTAAATTAACAAATTAAATAACCTTACTACTATCATGATTAACCTGAATATGAATGGAGAATAACAAATACACATTTATTATAGAATCTCTCTAGAGTTCAATAAAACAAACAAACAGATTATCTGAATTATTGTAAACTTATATTGTGTTTAATGTTAGTAAAATATGACTATTCTACCAATCTGAAAAAACCAACCCCTCCATACACACACAGATAAGCATATAGGTCACTTTGAACTATGGTTTAGATGAGAGTATGAATGATGCTATATCCAGTTGCTAAAATTGAATTAATTATGAATAGGATCTGAATTTGGGACTTAATGATAAAAAGTGAAGTTATTGAACGGATTAATCACTTTACTTATCTTGTAAGATCTTAAAAACCTATTGGGTTGATATCTAAAATAAGAAATCTTGACACGAATTTAGAAAATCCCATTCGATTTTAACATTTTATCGAGTCACTTCTAGAATAGGTGAGAAATTTGTCTGGTAAACAAAAAATGAGTATACTTTTCAACAGTTCATATTGTTCTACTTTAGTTCTGTGAAACCTGATCTTTAAAAATAACAAAAATTCTTAGGTTACTAATACCCGATCGTACATACCTTCGAAGCGCATGTTAAGACAATAGAGATACAGAATAGTGAGTAAAAGTAAGAAACCAGTTAGTAAGGTAGTGAATGATAAGTCTACGACTGAAACACTCCTAACTTCTTACCCACTACCTCCACTCTTCAACTCGGACAATAGAGATAAGGAGCGAAATGTCAGTACGATCTTTTTACTCTAAGGTTACTTCTGTACAAGAAGTTCAGTGTATGTTAAGAGTTTTATATTATGTTAATCTGTTAGATCTTTCTAGCAACACGCTAAATATAGTGGCGATTGAGACAACTGCTTAATCGAATCGTGACACATAATTCTTCCCTTTTTCTAAATGTTTCTGAGAAGTTTCTTTTTACTGCTGATTAGCCATAACGTCCCCGCCCATCTTATTGTTCTCCACAGACTTTGATGAGGGATAATTCCTTACTTACCTCTTTTTTAGTGCCGAGTGTTCTCTTTTTATCATCTTTCCTAAAAGCATTAATGTCACGTAAAGTCATTGAGTAGTGTCTGGAAATATGTCGCTTTATGTATACATTTCTGGAGAGAGAGCGAACTTATTTCACAATCCTCCATACTAAGACATTTGAGGTCAAACATTTTTAAATGCTAAAATATACTTACAACATTTCAGTATATTGGTTATTATTATGCACTTCAGTCAGTCACTCAGTAATAAGAAACCTGGCATATATGTTCTTCGGTTCAAATTACCACACTTTATATCATTCAGCACAACGAGATGGAATTATCAAGATAAACGCTAGACTAGTAGAATTAGTAACACTATCAGTGTAAGAAGTAGAAGAGATTAGACTCTATATTGCGAGAAGAAAGGATAAAATTAATGAAATAAAAAAGTACAAAATAATTTTAAAAATTATGTGGGAAGACGAAGAGTGAATGCATCTTCTTCACTTTGACCGATTCTGAGCCATTTTACCCAATCTCTTCAACCACTAGTTATGGTAATCAGACAAAGCCCAAACCAGCTAGTCTTCACTTACCTACACGAATTAGTTCAACAGTCAGTAACTATTTATTTGAACATATAAATATTGGTACAAAGAGACGCCAAAGTATTTATATACAACACACATTAAGAATGAGATTTTCAAGAGATAGAAAAAAGAACAAAAATTAATAGAAATTAGTGTACGAGAAAGTGATAATAATAATAACAATAATAATGAAAGAAGCGGTTCACTTAAGAAAAATACAACCAAAAAGTATTCCTTCGGTTAAAAATTCCCCTCGTTTGTATGAAGAAGGTAAAAGAAGACTACCGTAGGACAGCCACTGTCCTCGATTCCGAGACATGTCTGATAACGTTTTAAGCCTCTGTGTCGCACTATCCCTAGGACATCAACCAGGGAATTGTAAACGAGTAGAGAATGCCAGTCCTGCTTAGCTTCATTTCATATCATGTCATACACTGACCGCCTCTCCACTTCTTCTAATCGGTCCCAGAGTTCGCAAACAATCCACGATGTAAAATCCGACAGAACGACATTCGCGACATAGCCTTAGCTACCGAAGTCGGTGCTTAAAAATGGTAATATGAATCGAATTGTAGACGTTATGGTCTAAT